TTGGGTAATCCCGGAGCCAAATAGATCTATTTTAATAAATGCAAAATCAACAGAAGTTAAAAACAAGGAAATCAATGTGGTCCGTAGTTCCTAGAATGAAAATCACTCAGTCCAACTCAGGCGATCCTACTAAGTCAGCTCAGTAATTTTTATAACAGTTGCTATATTATCTTAGTAGAAATGACAAGACAACCAGTTTGAGCCTTATATGAGTTATCTGAACCACACGCTTGTACAATTGTGACCATTTGTAACCATGTTTCCAAAATATAACTGGAGATAGGCTTTCCCCCTTCTTTCCTTAGTTCTAAACATATACTAGGAAATGTGATGTTACATTCTTAGTGGAAAAGAGAACAAAGAAGTTTCATCCACAAATTTATATGTGATCGACATGCTTGTAGACTTTTGAACCATTGGTGAACCATTTCTCCCGAGCAGATAGAGATGGCTTTTGCCCATTCTTTCTAAATAAATGTAGATGCGAATAATTGGCCTGATCTAATATACATATTATAAAGGAAAATGGTTTGATAGGGCTCCAGCCCATCAAAGTAAAAGCTTCATCTCGAAACTTATCGAAAGTTGCAATTGGCATTGGAAAATCTTCAAATCGATCGTCTCCATCTTAAATATTATGGTTGTGGAAAAAAATAGAATTGCAAGCACTAAAAATAGTGTATATTTGTAAGAAATTATCTAGACCGTTCATTTTACCCAAAAAAATTAAAGTTCACATATCATCAAGATCTGTATATCTTTTTAATTTCGAATTTTATAGCCGGTCTTGAAATTTGATTTTAGAGCCAATATTGAGATTTTCAATGCCCAAAGTGCTTTTCGGATGAGTATTCAACGTGGGTTTGTTCTTTATTTTCATAAGGTGTCGGTATTATAAAAATTTCATCCGGATGAGGTTTCTATAAGGCCTAGGATTTATGAAAACAAAATAAAGCCCACTCTCAAATCTTTGTTCGGAAAGTACTTTTGGTAACATAAATTTCTATGTTGGCTCGAAAATAAATTTCTAATGCGGACAATAAAATATGAAATTAAAAAAATGATATAAATTTTACAGATCTTGAGCACCTATTTATGGTAAAATGGTATATCTATATAAGTTGTTATAATATATATTATTTTTGAAACTTCAAAATCCGAATTTTTTTTCACATTCATGATTTCAAATAAAAATGATCCATGTAAAAGTTTATCCAAGACTCCCATTTTTTGCTGAGTTATGAGGTGAGGATTTTGATAGGGCTGCAGTCCTGTCAAATCATTCCACATACAAATTGGGACATGAGCTATAGACAGCTATTCTCGGCAATTCTATATATTATTTTGACTTAAAAGGAGTTGGATTTTCCGGCTTAGGGTCCAATGATGTTACGTCTCATTTGCAGGAGTGTGGTAAAGAGTTCGAACCTTGAAATTTGTCCGTCATGCAAACCAAGAAAACCTACCAAAAGAAAATGGGAAACATCTTTGATCTTCTTTAAATAATGTTTTGTCTCTTTTGATAGGTAAGACTGCATTATATTAAATTCAAGCATTAAACATACAATGTATGTGGACAAGCTCACAAATCTAGAAAGCAAGCTTACTTATCTCATTCTAGTTTTATAAAGACCATTAATTTTAAAGTTAAGGGAAAGAGAATCATGGGCTCAATTCAACCAATTCTTTTTGCATAGCCTTTTGTTATAAGTTAGAGGTTGGTTCGATGACATTGAATAAGTGATTTAAAAAATGGATCGATGACTCAGATCAAGCATCGTAAAAATCAATTTAGATCGGTGAATCGGCAGTCCATATCATCGTTTTATTGTGTGGAAAAAATATTGAACCAGCAAAAAAAAAACATACAAAAATAATGAACCGGTCAAAACCAGTCCAGATCGGTGAATCAGTATTTTTTACTGTAGCAAAATGGCATTTTCACTATAACAAAATATTGTTTTATTGTAGCAAATTGTCGGTTCTCTTCTAGACACGGACGATTTTCTATATATTAATAGAATCGGCACAAGGTGATCGATTCCCAAGTTGGCCAGGACGATTCCATACCATCGAGGCGTTTTTGAAGTCATTGCATTCAACAATGCTAATTGATCTTTTAAGCCACTAATATGTGGCACTCGGACTATAATGAGCCTGTCTTTTTCCGTTTTCCAATCTTTTGTTTTTCCTTTTCTGGAAGTCACCTAGGCCAAATCAACTTAGGCATCGTTGAGGTGGTGTCCAAAGACTAAAACCAGTTCATTACGTTTCTTATTCATAATTGCCTCCAACTTTGAAAATTTTTAATCATGAATAAAATAGCACTTGATTGAACATGAATCATCAAAAGTGGCCAAGTCAATGGATTTTTAGAGTGCCAGGAGAAAATGCAATTATTTCATGGTCACAGCTCTTTTATTTTTCTTGGTTAAATTGATAAATATGATATATGGTGATGGAAGATGGTGCCGTTGAGCCCATGATTACTTCTTACACCAGCAAAATATTACCAAAATTGGGGGCTAAAAAAAAATTTAAATACGGACAAGGCTAAATAGCACTATGTCAAAAATGATTTGATCAGAAAAAAATTAAATATTGGCAACTGGATACTATATCAAAAATGATTTGATCACAGAAAAAGAAACACTTATGCAGTAGAGACTTGAGTTCTTCTCAGGTGAATTTCCTTGCAGGCTCTGAGGGCATAATCTGTCAATTCACTTTTACTTTTCTGAAATTTATTCAATTTCTCTATCCGTGCTACACCCAAAAAAAGCTAGTAATCGTTAGTAATATAACTTTTTATATAAAATAGCTCAGAATCTAAATTTGATCTCGCAAAAGGTCAGGCACAGTATGAAGTGAATGCTAAGTCATACACAAATTTTGTTGCTTATTGCCAATAAATACATTTTATTGTCAAGCCCCAGAATATACCCCAACTATAACTATGGCAATATTTGTGGCAAAAAACTAAAATTTTCATATTTATTTTTTAGGGAAAAGTTTATATTGAGCCGATGCTCTAAACAATCAAATTGGAGCCTATCACAAAAATTTGACTAGAAGAGGTTGTTTTGATGTCTAAATATCCTAAAATTGATCATCTCAACATCAAGATGCATGGATTTGAGAAAAAAATAGATTTCAAGTTTAGGAAAGAGTATATTTTTGTAACACATTTTTGGGCCGTCAATTTTCAAGATTTTCAATTTTTCATAGATCTATTGATGTACACTATTTCCGAAGCTTTAAAGTTTATAAATAAAGGTGAAAATATATTTTAAAGCTATCACAAAGATTTACAGTATTAAAACCACATTTCTTGATACTATTTGAAGGTAGGCTCTAATTTGAATGTTTAGAGCCTAGGCTCTATATAAACCCCACCCTTTATTTTAGGTTAATTATTAATTATTATTTTAGGTTAATTATTAATTATTATTTTAGGTTAATTATTAATTATTATTTTATATATATGATTTATTAATTTATATAAATACAAAGTATTTATTGTGTTTTGTCCCTTGGATCATGAATACCATAAATGTTTGTTACACTTTCCAGTACCTCTGCTTTTTCCTTTATAACGTAGTTTAAAGGGTGCAGTTGGCATAAGGTAGTTTAAAGGGTGCAGTTGGCATACT